CTAGAAAATCTCATCTGAAAAGAGAATTCGAGCTGGTTTACCTGGGAATGAATGCCACTTGGATGAAAACTCAGCTACCATATTGCTAGCTTAAAGCCAGAAAAGTTTTACTCTTCAGTCATCCAAAATGATCACTCCCGTGTTATCAGTTAAGTCTGGTTAAATCTCATGACAAGAATATTCTTTACTCCAAACTTCAGTTGATCGAGCATGTCTCCTGATTAAAATCAATTATACAAGATGCATAATTAATTATACAAGTCCATTATAACATGAACTCCTCTGTTTCACAGGCCAAGATTCATAATAGTTAGAAGCTCGTCCTCTTACCAGTGTTTCCAATACTGATTATTCCCTGTTGCTTCAGTTATTACAGTAACTATGGCAGTAGAGTTCCATCCATGGGTCCCTGGAGGTGTGTATGTATGTATGTATAAGAAGGCAGAAAGGGCAACAGAAGTTTGAAATTAGAGTTCTGGCTAGATATGTAGTCACGGTGATTAGGAATGTAAAGGACATGGAAAGATCACCTCTGTGAAACTGAGAGAGTATGAGTGCAGTTGATTCACGTGGCTGACATATGTCATTGACCAGTGTGGGTGGAAATGTGACCTAATGTGGTTCTTAGGCATTTTACTTTTCATTAGGTGAGCTGGAATTGTGCATGAGCAGGCCTGGTCTAGTATAGGCTTTTTTTAACGGAGAATAGTAGTTGCCACTTCAAACTCACAGAAAAATTAGATTTCTTCACTTTGTCTGTATTGAGGCACATGGGGTTGTTTTCATCTCAAGCTTTGTAGCCAACTCTGCTGTCCTCTAGGCTCTGGTGAAGTTCCTTGGGGATCCTTTTCTGGATGCCTGTTCAAGTCTCCCTCTCCTGCTCTCTGTCTCCCCCTGAAATCTGCTGCTCTCTCTTCCCTGGCCACCGTCCATCTGTCTGTTCCTGTCTCTGGTTCCCATTTGCCTGGGCTGACATTTGTTGATACGAAGCCAGGTAGGGAAGCAGAGCCATGGAGGCTGCAGAATGAGGAAGCATGTGCAAGGATGGGGAATAGCCTAGTCAAGGGAATGGGTGTTTGCCTCTTCCTTCAACCTGCTTGTGCACCCGGGCCGGTGCTGTGGCCTGGCCCCAGGGCTCAGCTTCAGGCTTGTGTCCTCTGTCCCCCGGTGAGGACATGGGATGTAGGGAGACCCAGGGAATTTTAGCACTTGCCTGGAGGTTGGAAAGATCCAAGCTGGCAGTGTGGGGAATGGCTGAGGTGAAGGTAGCAAGGCTTTGGTGTGGAGTTTGGCTGCTGAGTCCCAAAGCATCTTGTGTTTCCATCTGTCTGTGATGCCCTTTTTTCTGCCTGAGTTCACTGCCTTAATGGTGCAGGTACAGCAGGACCTAGATGTAGCAGCTCAGGTGAACTGAGGAGCAAACATTGTCTGTACACCCTATTTATTTATTTTGGGGAGCACTCCTACAATTGACAGCCCTGGCCACTCTCTTAGAGGGGAAGCAGCAGGAAACTTAGCAAGGTAAAACAATGCCTTTTTCCTGGAGGTGCAAGCTCCGCTTCTCATGTACTTTTAGCTGTAGCACTCCTTTCTCACTCTTCTCACTGCCTGTGAGCCCTGTGAGCTAAAATGGGGCTCAGGCCATTGTGGGAATGTGGGGGCAAGTATTGCAAAACAGGTAGATGGAGAAGCAAGGCCCAGCAAGCTGTTGCTTGATCTAGCAATATGAAAAAGTTCGTGGTTTGCTAGAAGCAGTCCCCTGTCTGATAAGCATTTGGGGCCCAATAGTTGGCAAATGAATAAACCTCACACAATTCTAATTTTTTAATGTCTTTATAAGGAAGCATAACTGGAGGGAGAGTAGCTGGCTAAAGTGAAACTAGGATGGTTCATGTGTTTATTGTTTAAGAGCCTGCTCATCCCATCTAATCTTGTAGGAGGCTTGTGCGCTGTGTGGGTTGCTTGGGAGGGAGTGGCCAGTTACATATCCCTCCCTTGCAAGAAGAGATTACAATGAAGAGCAATAACGAGCTTTGCTGACATTCAACTCCACAGACTTCGCTATTTTCCTTCCATGTCGGTTTGTGGGTGTAACTGAGAGCCGTACAGCTTTGTTTCTGTTCTTTGGTCTTCCTGTGTGACAGTACCTTTACAACATAGCTGGTACAAAATTAACAAAGGAAAGACAAGAAGTAGAAAATTATGTAATATAAGTTGGAGGCCCTCAGACCATGTCTCAGGGAACCTGCACAGGTGCTGCACATCTCCCACAACATGGGTCCTGAGCTTGTTTCCTTTAGTGCATTGTCATAACTGCGTGGTTTCACTGCATGGTTTAACCCAGTAGTGGCTCCTTTCAGACACACGCTGAGTTCACAGGGTGAATCATGACACTGCTCTGCTCCCACTGATGTCCTGCCCCTCCAGGAGGATGCTACTCTGCAAAATCTGGAGGCCGTCCACCAAGCCTTAACACAACCGTCCTGGGTGTGATGTCTCAAATGTGACATTATGTTATTGGGAGGTGTACTAGAAGATCGAGATGAATATGTAGCACCTTAAGTGACATGGTACAGTCCTTCCATTCACTGGCCAGTTTTACAGCCAGTGGATGGTGGGAATAACAACATCTACATTTTATTTCAAAAGGCTGTGAAAACTGAGTGATGCTGTATTTTATCTGAATGGATTATCTGCACCTTAAGAGGCAGATGGTTTCAGTCATCACCTTTTGTTTCCCTGCTTTGAAAGGCACAGCCTTTCAATTTATTCACTTAAAAAAGTGAACCTGCTACAGGCTGCTGTGTTCCACTTTTCTATGCTAGCATGTTTGATGGTAAGGTGCTGAGGTACTTCCTGTTTATCTATAAAAATCTCATCTTCCAAATCAAACTTGTCTCTCTGGGGACCTCTAAGTCAAGGTTCAGCCTTGCTGTATGGGTGAAACAAGCCATGTTAAGATTCCACTCTCCTTTGCATCTGCTGATGGTGCCATACTTCTTCCATGTGTGTTCAGTCTCATTCTAGGTCCCAGTTGCCTGTTGTCATTCTGGGGTGGCTCTGAACAGACCTACTAGTGCTTTCAGCTTGCTGGGGTGACAAAGAGAAAGCTGTACATGCCCAGATGAATGCACCACAGAGCTGGTTGGAAACTCAAACAGGTAACCCCAGCAGCCCTCCTCGCCTTCCTGAGGGTCTTTGGACTCTTCCCTGCAAGTACTGTGGTATGAGCAGAGTATGGCAAAGCATCTTTGAGAACCGTATTGTTTCATAAATACTTGTTCTCGGGAAGGATGGCCTTTTACTCTTTCCCTTCCACCTGCAAGGTCTGTATCCAAGTCATGGAAAACAATTAGAGAAGTTTCATGCCTTTTGTTCAAACCCATTTAGGCTCTCCATTGAATGGCTGTACTTGTTTTTCAGACCACAGAGGTAGAATCTGTTTAAGAGAAACATTTTTTTTTTCTTATTCTGAAAGCTACTTGTAGTCTATGAAAATAATTGTAACTTTATCAGCTGAGTAATAAATGCAATTAAGGGTCTATTTCTGGGCCTATTCATGCCTAATTTTCTCCAACTTTCCCAGTCCTTCACCTAAAATAATTTGGCTCTAGCCATACAAGAATTAGCCCACTAAAACAAAAAGAGCAAGCTGAATATTTCTAGTAGGCAGTTTTCTAATACTTGGGGTTTTTGATGAAGATTGTCAATGATTTAGTGAATTGATAATTTATATGTTTTAAAAAAAAACAAACCAAAACAAAATATCAACATATCTAATGACCTGAACTAATGACTTAGTGAAACTTAGTGCAGAAACACTTACCATGGGTTTTTATCCACACAGGTACCATGACTGAGTTTAAAGGTGGAGGGGAAGTGGAACACAAGTGTACCATAATATAACCATCTAGCATAATAAACCATCTAGCTTACCAAAATACCAGGGTGAATGCATACATGCTTAACAGCTTTGTTGTTAGATGGGATGATACCAAGATGAAATAGGAAGATAGCAGAGCTCTACTTTTTTCCATTAACTTGTGTGCAAATCATCTGGTCTGTTATGCGCAACCTGACACCTAGTACATCCTTCCTTTTCAACTGGTGCAAATTTTTAACCAAGGTAAAGACTCTCTGCTGGCTGCTGTTAACCTCTGGTGCAAATATCAGTAAGAGTAATTTTTAAGAGCATTATTTTGCAAGAGCAGATACATGGTATCCAAGCTAGAGCTGAATAAGTGCTGCGGAAGAAGGGTGTGAGTGTTCTTTTCAAACTTCAAATGGCACCTTGGTCTTTATCTTCTTTTTATCTTTACCACAAACTTGAGCATGAAGTATAATCACTTTTTTGTGCCAGTGATGGGACAAAGACTTGGCATGACACTGTTATATACAGTTACCTGTGAACATTTTTTTTTTTATTTTGACTGAGGTCAGTCACTGCTGATCATTTGTTGTTTCCATTGATTCATCATGGACAAAAGCAATGTGCAATAACTTAGCTAACTAATCATCTCACCAAGAGAAAAACAGAGTGCACTATATTTCATTATTTTCTCACAAATTATTTGTGAGAATTCTTTGTAAAAGGAAAACAACCCTCTCCTCCTTCCCTGTGTTCTACAACACACACACACACACACACACACACACACACACACACACACACACACACACACACAGAGGTATTCACTTTATTTTGGTTAATAATAGCTTTAGACATCCATGGTGCTCAGAAAACTTTGCAAGGAGATAGCATAAACTGGAATGAAAATCTGAATCCTTAGAAGGATGTTCTTAGAAACTCTGAGAAAAATTCCCCCACAGTCTTAGCTTTTCCTTGGGAGAAATTAACATGACTCAGTATCATCTCCTCACAGATTCATTTTACTTGTTTCTATCCTAGGAAAACCTTCCCTTCCCCTCTTTGTCTACATTCAAACCATAACCAAATCAAAGTCAGACTAGAAGCAGAATCCTGAAAAAGGAAAAAAAAGAAAGCTGACTATTTGGTTTTATTCCTGCATTTAAGAGAAAAACACACAATGCAAATACCCACCTATTGACATGGGCTGTGTTTTGAATTCTGGCATTACAGGGGAGCATCCATAGGTTCTTCTTAACAAAACAGAAGTTTTCCCGAAAGAGTAAGGAACAACATCCTGGAGGGAAGCTAGAACTGCACACAAAATGGTTGTCTGGAGAACTCCTTGCCACATTTATTTATTTACATTAATGGAGGCATATTCTGTAAACTCGTTTTCTACGGTTAGTTCCCTTCTCTGGCATCTTTCTGGAGAAGCAGAATGATTTAGTGCAGCATATGTGAGGGCATCTGAGCTTTCAAGTAAAACCGGGATGGAAGGAATAACAGGATCATTGCAATGTGTGTTAGGTGCTGTCCTCTGAGCGTTCCAGGGAGGGACATTGTTGTCATAAATTATGTTGCCATGCAAGGCCTGCAGTGGGCTAGCCATGGAGCAATAGTAAAGTGAGGAGCTTTCTTCTGAAGCTTGAGATGTCCCAGCAGCGTGGGATGGAGCAGCTGCTGGACTTCTGACCTGCAGAAAACAGAACAGGGTACAATTCTCTGCATATCTGGTTGTTGCTGTGCGCCTACTAAATAAGAGGCTTGTAGATTTTGTTCAAGTTTGTTTATCCCCTTAAAACTGCTTTTGACTACAGGTGAATTGGACTCACCTCATCACTGGATTCTATATTGATCTTTGAAATAAATTTAGAAATCATTCTTGTATCTCCTGCCTTTCTCCATTTCCCTTCACCAACTCTCATGTCTTTTCTTACAAGTTGCCAACTTAAGGCAAAACTGGTTGATGATTTTGTGAGAGCTCTTCTATGCCACTCATTCAAGGCTTTCCCTTCTCAGTTTAGGAAATCATTTTTATTTTCACCTCCAAACCCCAAACCATCTTCTCCTCATTGGGCCCATTCTCCCACTTCCTGATCTTTTGCTTTTTACCTTCTTTGTCTTATTATTTTCCAAATAAATCTTTCTCCTTCTCCAAAATATGCAAATGCCTCTATAAATTAATCTTTTTCTAATAAAGTCCTCTTGATATCCATTTTTATAGCCACTTAGAATATACTGCTTTTAATTTTCTTTCCTCCAACTTGCCCTTTGGGAGCTTTGCCACCTGTTTGGTGCTCTTTGATCCCTGCCAACACTACCCCCATGACTGATGGTTGTCAGCTCCAGTTGCATCTTTTGCGTTCTGCCTTCTGCCCATCTAATTTCTCTGGAACTGGTTGCAAGACCTGTGTGAATTCATGCTAGCCACATATGAAAGTCTTCTTTTTCAATCATTTTTCTCACTCTGTGGGTCATTTGTTGTCTTATGCAGACAGTCTGAACCAGATCAAGAGAGGTGTTTTAGGTGCCTAAATTGTTACTGGAATGGTACTTATAAATTAGTGTGTTTTAACAGCAATTTGGATTCTTAAAGTACCTTTGTGGCTAAGACCCTTAAGCTCCTTCCCTCAGCTCAGCCATGGTGATATTTCACACCAGACAAGTCATGCTGTCCAGGCACCAAAAGGGTCACTAAATCTGTCTCTGATCCTATGTCACATTTTGTTCTACACAAATATTTTTTATCAGTACATGGTTATGCAGGACATGGTCAGGTTTTGATGATAGAAGGATTTAAACCTACCAGGCTCTCTTGTCTCTGTTGGGTTAATGGAGTTCTCTTTTGCTTTGCTGGGAAAAAAGAATAAAAAGAGATATTTCAATAAATCAGCATTGAGAAGGTGCCTTTCTGCTTATGGAGGGAGTATTAATTACTATAGGAGTCCTTGCCTTGTTTAGTGGACCTGAAAGATTAAAAATCTATTTCCAAACTGCATTTGGGAATAACTATTCTGACAAAAGCTAATCAACACAGACTGATATATTTATATAATTGGTTTCTGTGTTCCACAGACCTCCTCTGAATAGGAGCAGAAAAAACTCCTAGTACACTTGTGACCAGTTTTCTCTGTGTTCAGTGAACTGGGTGTGAAGAAAAAGGCATGGAAAATCCTAAAGCCATCCTATGAACAAGCATGTTAAATTTTGTTGGAAGATGAAATCATTTCATTTTCCTAAAATAAAAAAAGATATCCATGAGATTATAATAGGCAAATACAAGATCACTTAAGACATAGGGAACTCCAACTTCCATTCTTGATTTATGACATGGCATCTGTGTAAGAGTTCCTCCAAAACAGGAGAGATTAATACTGTAATTATTTGAAAATTTAGAGGGAAAAGTAGGAATATAAAATGTAACTGGATAGATCTTGGCTGCATTTGCATGGCTAAAACTCCTATTTATTTCTAACTTGATTATTTGAAAAACAGGAGAAAAATTTCCAACTATTATAAAATCTGAGATTTTTATGTTTTTACTTTACTTCCATTCCTCTGTCTCTGGAAGGGAACAATACATGGGGAAAATTAAATTCTTCAAGATTCAGTATCCTAACTGGTGCACTTGACAAGGACATCTCACAGTCAGATGGGGTAATTACTAGGTGATTTTCATAGAGCTTTGAATACAGCTTCTGTGAAGCTATGAAAAGGAGCAGAATCATATGCACACTAGGCAAAGTTTAGATGGTAAAACTACTTACCATGGTGCCTCCTTAGACACCAAAACATGCATAAAACGATGAATGGACAACAGACACCCAGAGATGCTGAAGCATAAATAATGTGCAATGTCTTGTAGTTTCCAGATTCTTGGGAATCTTCTAAGATGCTAGTGACATCTAAAATTGCATTAGCATGCATTAGTGTAGAGAAATATTTGACTGGGGGGGGAGGGGTTGTTTGTTTGTTTGTTGTTGTTGTTGTTGTTGTTGTTGGTTGGTTGGGTTTTTTTGTGTTGTTTTGTTTTGTTTTGTTTTTTTCTTTTTTTCTTTTAGCATTAGGTCTTTCTGATGCAACTAGATTCTTAATGTACTTAAACATTCTGTAACTTGGTACAGCATCCTATGGAGACAGGGTTATCTCATGACCATTCTATGAAGTATGAAAATACTGGAAGGAAAACTGCACAGGAAAGTGTAATTGATGAATGATGCATGGCAGAAGGCTGGCAGAAGCAAATAAAGGGTCAGAATTAGGGCACTGCTCTGAACTTTCAACGTATTTTTGCAATTATAATTGTAAACAATAACCAACTGTGAATGAAAACCATACTTCAGGCTATGTTAAAGTGATGATACAGCATGATTCTTAACACTTTATAAGTCATGTATCACTGGGATATTAAAAAGCATGTCAGAAGCACAGAGTATAACACCAGAAAGTAATTTGATTGACTTTGTCCCTTTTATGCTCAATGCTGGACAGTCCTAGGCTTGAAAACTGTGACTCTTGAGAGACTATATTTTGTTCAAGTGGGAAGGAAACAACTGTAGTTTTGCAGTGAGTTTAAATTTGTCCTGACCACACAAAACACTCTAACCTAAAATTTGTAGCAATACAGATTAGTTCCTTTCTCTTAAAGAGGAAATAAGAATCAGAACTTACTTTCTGGTGAGATTGTGATAATGTTTTCAGAATTTTCTGAAAGACAAAAGCAAGACAGGGAAATGAAACAGCAGCTTGACATTTTGCACTGCAGTTGTGTTCTCTGCACCACATACTGAAGTCTTCGCAAGGCTTGCCTTCAATCTGCTGATGGAAGAGGGAACAAAATGCAACAAGCAAAGGGTATGGTGGTTTGGATGGAGGGGGAATGACCTGTTGGTCTCCTGCTGCCAACAGAGTAATTCTATCGTTCAGGCCTCTTTGGCATTCAAATAGATCAGCAGAACATATTTCAAAGGAAACTTGCATCATAAGCTAGGCATACACTGTGCTAGCACATTACAGCCATGAATTTTGATATTACTTACTCTGTTGCAGCATTTTGTGTGGCAATAAACAAGGTTTCAAAGTTCATTAACTTACCAGAAGAGGAACTGGCAACAGTGCAATATCACAACTCAGCTGCCTGGGGTCAGTAGGACATTACGGCCCCACAGATCACCTTCTAGCTGCAAAGCAACATTGGGGAGGGCAGACATGGTTCATCATAATCTAGACATGGCATCTCAATTGCCTAAATTAATGTGAAGGCCTCACTTGCCCTTCGGATCTTTTAAAGCTATTGTAATCTTCCCTGCTCTTGAACTACTTTCTCTGTTTGTTCCAAGAGAGACCATTCACAACAAGGTGCTTGAATTGCTTTCTCCTCTTTACTGTTGTGTGGCCTCATTGACTGCTACTACATGATCACTTGCATCCTGTCTAGTCCATGTGATGTAAAACCAGGCTGTCCTCCCATAATCTTCTTTTGTTCCAACTGATATTTTTTTATTATCAAATAATCTGTATCAGATGGCTGTTTGGTGTTGCCAGCTTTGCTTTTCTCTTCCAGATCCTTCTGTTATTTCTTTATTTTGTTATTTCTTTTTGTTTCTGTCCTACCAAGAGGCAGGATAGAAGCATGAAGAAGGTTGTAAGTACCAGCACAACTATGTTACCAGTCAAACATGTTGGGAAAAAACATCATCCAGCATGCACGAGCTCTTCTGTATGTGCCACCATTTTGTTTAAAAAGATTCTTTCATAATAGAGGGGTCTCACCTTCAACAATTACTGTAATGCCATGGCTTTCACTGAAAAATTTGTCCACTGTTGCTCGACAACGATAAAGTCCACTATCATTCTGATGAACTGGGAAAACCTCCAGAGTAAACACACTGGACTTCCATTCTGCTTTGCCCTCCTTCAACTGCACACATATATCCACCTCTATCTTGCACCACTCCATGACTGGCTTTTTCTTGCAGTAATGAACTGGACAGCCTATAATCAAAGAGTTTCCGACTTTAATTTTGTACTCAGAGTGTCTTCTAACATGAATTTCAACTGGACAATCACTGTCATCAAATCCTGGAAAAGAAGAAAAACATAAAAAAACTTGTGGTGGGGGGGGTCTGCTGTATACTCCCCATAACATTAATCACGGTTTCTTTTCTCCTGACTCAAGACTTCCCTCGTCTACTTGCAGCAGATCAGATCTCTATATAGGACAGCGATAGCAGATAACATCAATACTACTGGTTCATTCATTTTTAGGAGGATTGTTAAAATGCACATTCTCCCTCTGATATGAATTTTTCCTTTTTTTTCAATATCTCAGTCAAGTTAGAAATTCAATAGTTTAGAAAGAGAATACTTAAAATATACATAGCAAGTTTTCCTGTGTCATCCTCTCACAGACCTTTTCTATTACTTTTAGATTTACTTCAGATTATTGTTTACTTCACAACTGTTAACTTGAAAAGGTAAAGACTTTTCTTTGATAGAGTTTTTTATAAGTGTAATATTGAAAAGCATTATATTTAATGTAAATATACCTTATCTCTATTTTTTTAAAAATTTTTGTTATGTTAAACTTGGTGTTCAAGCCATGGTGTGTCATCTTAACTCTGGGTCTTGGTATTGAATGTCCTGACCTTTTATTAAAGATTCATGTTTCTTGTGGTGCTTTATTTCTCTGGCTAAGTCAAAGTAACAAAGACTATGTGATACCCGTGTGCTCTCTACTTCCCTTCCCTACCTTACAGCACCGTGCTTGTGCACTGAAGAGTGATTGCTCAGAAGACCAGAGAAGGAAATCTTAAATATACCTGTATCTTCCAATTGTTAGAGGGAAGTAGAAAAAAATAGTAAAGTATGTTGAAGGCAAGTTTTGTACGGAGGAGAAATGTGTAGGGGAGGAAAGATCAGTGGTGGGGGGCAGAAGGGTCTGTCTGTCAGCAGCCAGTGCTGTCTCAAGGGACGGAGCCTCTGTGCCCCCAGGCAGCCTCTGCACATAACTGAGACCCCGAACGCCTCGCCTCCACCGTCAGCCAGGATTTCTTCTGCACATGATATAGCAACCCTTGTGGAAACCTGGGTAGTATGTTCAAGAGCTTAGGATGGCCGGATTAACAGTTTTAGTTTATGGCCTCTAGTTTGCCAGCCTTTTCTCTACAAATCTCAGACAACTCCGTACCATAAAGAAATTGTAGACCACTCGGTAATGCTGAGTTTTGAGCATAAATGTATTCATTGCCTTCATTATAGCAGAGCTAACGCTTTGCTGCTGTTGATTTTTTGGTTTGCTCTCTTTAAGGTGACTTTGGGAGCAGGTGTCTAAAAATTAGGTGACGTTCATCCACTTCTAAATCTACATCTTTACTCATTTTGCTTTGTCAAATGTGCCTGATCTTGCATGATAATGAGGAAGAGGCTGTTCACTGTAAAGCTGTTTTTTTTAGCCACTGCGATAAATTGTGGTTTCTGATATATCTCTGCCATGTGCAATAAAGAAACTCATCTGCTCACAGGACTTGGCATCCTGTGAAGTTTCTGCTTTGAGGGGTCCGAATCTGAAATCATCCTTGTATACCAACGTTCCCTTAGTCGGATGGCTTTAAATGAGGATTGAAGTGGGGTGAGTAGAGTGGCAAAAGCACAGAGGTAAGCAACTTGGACAAGGACTTTAAAATTGGTCCTTGCAGAAGGGGTAAGTGGAGTAAATTCAAATAATTTGGATGAAAATGAGAAAATGAACAAAGAAGAAAATAGCTCTGGGTACAAACAATTTATTTTTATTAATAGAAAAACGTCTGGGTAAAAAGCAAGGGGAACTAGAAGCCTTGATTAATTCAATATCCCTAAGAAGAGAAGGAAGGAGAGCAGCAGAATAAAAATAGTTGTGTTTGGCGAAGAAAGCTTTGGTATGTTTGATGACCCGGAAGATAAGAACTAATCAGATGTAAATGCAAAGGAAAAGGACATAAACAGAGCTGGTGGTCCATCCAATAAATTATGAGAGTACAAGCACTAAGCATCTACACCACAGCAGTGCAGTAAGAGAAGAGCAAGCTTTTCACTGAGACAAGAAAGAACCACCAAAAATGCAGAGAAGGATTGAGTTGTTAAGGAGTGGCATAAAAGAACTGAGCAACATTGGAAAGTCATGGCAGAGAACGAGATGCACTTAGTAAAACACATCAAGTGTAAGTATATTGATTGTAAAACTAAGAAAATATTAGTTCACTAGTTAGTGGAGAGAGAAAGCTATCAGTAGATTGCCAGCAGTAAATTAGATTTACCAAGTAACAGAGAAATTATTTGTAAAAAGGCAGTCAGTTCAAGAAGACATAGAGTGGATACACAATAACCTCTGTGTTCTGCTAAGGACTGGTAAGTGTACCTGGGTCTTGTCCAATCTTTTGTACTGCTCTTCAAGAAAAAAGGGAGACAATGCTTGGAGTGTCTCCAAAGAAGCCAGCAAATACCACGAGCATAAGAAGGCCATAAAGGAAAGCTTGAAATTCTTGGGGTTGTTTCACTCAAGTAAAAGCAATGAGAGGAAAGGACATAATAAAATAATGCAAAGACATAAAGGAAAAATGAAATAATGTGGTTTTTCATGTTTCTGTTAAGTATATAGAGAAATAATGGGCTAAAAATAAAGTAAGGAAGGTTGATTACATAGTTTGAAAAACTTCTGAACTGTTTAAACAGTAATTCTGGAACTGGTTTATGTGGAAGCTTGTAGAATCACTGACAGCTCTGAGGACTAGCCTACACTGACATCTGTCAGGATAATACAGCTGAATTTAACTTCTAAACTGTCAGTGTATGTTGTCATGTAGTCAAGTTCATGGATACCAGGTCCATAAATGGACACAGAAAGAACTTAGGAATGGTGAACATGATGATGTCCCCAATGCAGCTGTTCCATTGCTGAGGGGACAGGAGGGGAATGGACCACAGAAAATGCCTGTGCTCATCTGCTCTCCCTGAACAGCCTTTCTTCTTTCTGCTGCCAGAGAGCGAGCACTGGTCTTAGGCAGTATGGCATTTCTTATGTGGTTTCCACTGATACAGAAGACATGGTCATGATCTGCTTTCTGACACAGCACTGTCTCAATAGTAGATCCTGATTATAAATATATCTGTGATGTACAGGAAGAGGTATTCTCCTAGGGACCATCCATCTGGATGTGGTAGGAATAGTAACATATTTAATATATTTCATATAAAATTTAATATATTGTATTATATTTAATGTGAATAAAATAATTAAATGCCGTATTTCATATATTAAATATTTATTTATTTACTTATTTTTACTGCTATGTATATGTTGTGGCAAATATATTGCAGTAGCAACAGCTCTAAGATATAGAGCCTGGCCATGTTCGCAAGGTAGCATTTGGGTGTTAGGTCATCTAGTCCCTCTTCTGCTACCCTGAGTAGGATCACTCTGAAAGACATTTTAGTTATGAAGCAGGACCACTTAACTTTCTATCTTTCACTTAGACTCTTCTATCTCTGATTAAAAGAAATGGAAGAGAATTTTTTTCAGGCCAGTAGGCCATATCTATTTTGGTCCCACCACAGTAGCAGCACATGGTTATCAAGAGTCTGAAAATGGCAACTAAAAGCTCAGATTAGAAAGTAGAGGTTTCAATTCTTTGAGCAATGATTACCAGGGAAGATAATACTTCAGGAAGTATCTATGAAGCCTGGGTTGTGCCCTGATCGTAGTCTTCTTTCTGATATAATTCTGTGTAACAGGTATTTCCAGAAGGATCAGAAGGATGTGCAAACTTTTCTAAAATGTTCCAAATGTCCAAGTTCTCTCAAAGTTTTAAAACATATTTCAGTGACACTCTCTCATTCAGCATCATTATTAACCAGGGACAGGAGCAGGAATTGTTGTACCGCTTCCATTCTTATCTTTTTTGCAGTGCAGGGAAGTAATGTTTTCCTTGATTTTGAACCATCTGGTGCTTTTACAACAAAGTATACATCACTGCCACTGTCACTTTTGGAAGAAACACCTAATCAGCATTGAGCAGATTTTGTACATCCAACAGCATTCCTCTGGGACAGGGTTACTAATCCTCATGAATTCAGATGGACACTAGTTGCGTGGGTAGTTGGAAATTAAAATGTCTTCTCAGTATTAAATATTGCTCTAAAGAAATTCTTGTCTTGAACTGGTCAGTGTAACCTGGAGCAACACTCAGTGGCAGAACCTCCCGGAGAGGGGGAACAACACTGATACTGAGTGCATAGGAAGTTTTGAATTATCCTCCAGCCATATCCTGAGTGGGAATATATAAATTTCCTGAGAAAAATCCTTACTGGTGTCTGGATATACTTCTAGATTAGTTTTTGTGCAGCCCTTGCTCTGTAGGTGAAATGTATAAGCAGTTCAAGTGTTATAAGCTTGCACTGACATCACAACAAGAAACTTCCCTCCATACACCTTCCTGCACTACTACCAAGTCATAAGGAGCTATTTGACTGCTAACAAAGAATTTACCTAGTTACAGTTTGCTTTTTTAAAAAAAAGTTCCACTGGCATTGATATTACTAGTATTACTTTTCCTCTTACAGTATATTTTTAAGAGAGTTCAAATAAAATGCGCTAGTACATCTCAGTCAGGTGAGCTGGAATAATGTTTTTCCTTTTTTCCCAAGTGCCTATGCCAACATGTGCCACAGTTTTGCTCCTTCATCTGGTAGTGGTCATTCAGTTTTGGCGGGGATCATTCACTTAGTAATGTAATTTCAGTATAATCAGATCTGGTGAAGTTTTGTTTCCAGACCCCTGCCATCGAGTGCGCCCGACTCCAGCACTCTTGTTTTCTCCAAAAGGTTACCTATGGAATGTGCCACAGAGCTTTGGGAACTGCACGTGGGAAAACATTTACTGCACTTGCTACCCAGCCCAACAGTGTTACTGCCTGCCCACAATTCCTGGGCAGCAGCATCCCACCGACCCTCCAGGCACGTTCAGGTGGAAGCTTGCACGACACCAGCCTACACACACCTGCTGGCCCTTAACCTTCATTTCTGGCTGCTGCTGCAGGTAAAAGTGTTTGGCAGCCTGCTGTCAATTAACCCAAGCATACAAATCCTCTCCCTCTTTTCTCTTAAAGTAAGTGGGAGTTGAGGCTACTGGGTTTCAGTTGGTTTTCCATTTTCTCTAGTTCATAGTGCCTTTTTTTTTTTTTTTCTCACTCCCTTTCTTTCTGATAATGTAGCTATAGACTCATTAGGAAATATTTAGCCTACCGAAAATTGATTTAATTTTCTTAGTTATTGTTTGTGTATCCCTTAGAAGAAGCCTGTGGCTGCTAAGTAAACACTGTTATTTTATTCAGTGATGTATTTTTTTTTTCCTGTCAGTGAAATAGAGCAATCTTTTAAACTTCCTAACCAGGAGCTGTTCAAGCTACTACTTGCCTTTCAGTGGGTATGAGAATTTCTAGACTGTCTCCAGAGCTGGCAAAAGGATCTTCCTTTCAGAGGCTTGAAACAATTGGACTTTAAGATGCATTTTTTTTTTTTTTAATTGTTATGAGACAATGCTTGGAGCATGAAAATAATCACAATTGGTTTTGTATGTTTCTGTGACTTGTTAGTGGTTGATGGCTGAATGACTTGGGCTTTAGGTTTCCAAATTTTTGCTAGGAAGAAACATAGTCCTTAGTAAATGTCATTAGTCATCAGTTTGGGGACCTTCTAGAACAATATCATTAGAGGAGATGAGTGAATAAGTTAAATGTTTTTCTCAGGCTTTGGGAAATTCTTAGTCTGAATTATTTTGAACTTCAGTAACTAAAAATCCTTTGCCTATAATCCAGCCTTTTTTTCTCTAGCAATTAAGTGTGGGAGTTCATAATGAACGTGCCCTGAAATCTCTAATTAACCTTGTCCCTTTCTTTTTTATGTAGAATAAAATATTTAAGGTAAACTTATTTTAAAGTATCTTTCACAGTTTTCCTGTAAAGGCCACTTGGCAGGAATAGGTATCAGTGAAGATTTGGGGTTAAATAACAATAAAAATCATAATATCCTAAAGAATGAGAGATGTCTTTTTTTTTTTTTTTTTTTTTTTTTTTAACAGGTTAAAAAATCAACACATCTGACAATGAGAGGGAAGCTTTTCTGTTAAATTGTTGTCATTAGGCAGACAAACATGAAATAAACTTCAGTTAATGAAAGCACAAACATGGCTTGGTGTACTTCTCCTGTGACGGTGTATCTTACCTTTTTTCTATGTGCTATCTCCTGTGCCTTATGAGAAGTCAATAGTATAGGCACTGTCTGACAGTTATATACTATATGTGCAAGCACTTTCTGACATAAATTTAATTATCCTTTCTTTAATACTGTTATGAGCTAAGACCTAAAACCAGTTACAAGGTCTTATACCAAGTCTTAAGTTTTCAATGTCACGCATAGAGGTGGTCCTGATGAATATCTGAATGTGACGTTTTCAAGAGGGTAAAAGAATCTGTAACATATGGAAGCTTGATATATCATCTTCAACCTTACATTCCTTGGTAAGATTCAGATTGACTAAAAGCACATTTTCTTTCAGATCACTTCAGCATGGTCCTGAACAGGCTGCGGCGAGCCAGGCTCTATTGCACCAAGAATTGATTTGCACAGGTAAGGCGAATCTTCTGTACAGTGTACTTCCAAGATAAGGATTTCAAATGAAAGCATGTATTCCATAACTTGTACAATAGGGAAATACCCATGAAAATAATTTATTTTATAAAAATAAATTGTATTATTTTCTCATTCTTATGTTCTGGAAAACATAGTCATGACATGACTCACCAATAAACAAAAGAGGTTTAATGGAGATGACTTTCCACTTATGTAACTTAAGGCATTAATAGAAAAATAATAGCTAAAAATTGAGCCTTCTAATCTTTGAATTATAAATGGCGTCATTCACACCTGGTTGTCTAAGAACTCAGAACAGCTCCAGCAAACTAAAATTTACTAATTGAAATTCCTGAGGCATTTATTTTTAAAAGGATTTATCTTTACTTTGTTTTTCCCTATCTCTTCCCTTTAAAAAAAAAAGGAACAAGGGATGGGATAGAATATAAGTCATATCCTGTATCATTCCCTGCGTCAGATTATGACTGAGGTATAAAATGTCAATTATTAATGAAAAATAAATGTCTACGCTTAGTTTTGAATTCTGTGTTTGGGTCAGTCTGTGAAAACTGGCAAAGGACTAGTAATGGTTTTAGGTCAGGTCCAATGTTCTGAGACATTTCTGGTCAGGGTAATAGAGCAAAACTGCACCAGAAAGTGCATTGCTTTTTGGGGGGGCTTCACATTTAACAGTGAGATCTTCATGACTTTGCTGATTTTAACAACAAAAAAGGAAACATGAGGAGAACTCGGGTTAAAATATGCTCCCTCCTTGAATTTAGGTAAGGTGTATTTAGAAAGATAAACACTTCAGAAGACATACTAAGTGATACCTGGAGAGGCCTTTTTTCAGACTTCTCCCAGCTCCAGAGAAGGCTTTTCAAGGAATGATGTAAAATTTTATTTTAGTCATTTCACATATTTATATCATAATTTGGATTTTTCAAAGACTGTAATGTTGGTAATAGAAATTTAATTTTAGTCTTTTTCACTTAATTTTTCCCATGTCATCTTAAAGATATAGTAATGCACATTTTCTGTTTACTTGGTGTACAATGAAGGGTTTTCTGGGTTTCATGCCGTTTTTCTAGGGTTTTTTTCTGCCAGTGGTAGTATTTGTAAAGCTGACCTGCTTGCTGAGGTAGTTGATGGAGAGTTGCATACTTTTTTAACAATTTCTTGAGGAAAGCTGTGTAAGTGCAGAAAGCATGTCTTTATATTTTGATGACTGAAGCTTCAAGACAGAACATTTCTGTTTAGCTGAATGTTAGCATGTGCAGGCGATCCCATGAAAAGGTCTAACAGTAAGGCGTTTTTTGAGATGAGAATGGTGCCCACCGTTAGCAGGCATGTGTGCACGGACGGAGTTACTAGCTGGGGCTTCTTGGGGCAAGGAGAGGTTTGTTGGGCTTTATTTTCATTGGGATGAAATGATTTGTTGTCCAGCCAGCAACAACCACTCTTTGTGAGGCTGGATGGGAACAACCTGATATTTGATGTTACAGAGGAAACGGGGTCTAACTGCACTAAAATTACTGAGGTGAGGGGGGAGAAGACACTTCTGCTTTTGTCACTTATAAGAAACAAGCTTACTTCTCCATCCCTAATTTAGAAAAAATTTTCTGGTTATTGACTTTGCATATGAAATTGTGAGCAGTCAACTTTGTTTCTGTTAGGAGTAAGGGAAACTTTGGGTAGATTTTCAGCTTACTTCAAACCAAAATAAAAACCAAACAAGCTTGGAAAACTTATGGCTAAAATATAAATACATTAAAAAAAACATTTACATTAGGGCTCTGTAGAGACAGACTTACAAAACCTTTCTCTCTAATGTTTCTATGAATGTGATTCTGATGTTTGTAGTAATATGGGTGTATAGAAGGAAGTAGTATTGTTCTCAGAGGACGCTGAGTAGTTTTGACGTAGATCAAAAAATATAACCTAGTGAAATAATTTATGTTTAAACAAAATACGTGCTATAAGCAGCATAACAGAAATTACATTCTGTTTTAAAAACAGTATCTAGGAACCTGGCAGATGAGTATAGAGGGTTTGTCAGTGGATTAATGAACTATACAGAATGATGCAGAGAGGTGATTGTGCGAGGGACTAATAACACAGGCAGACTTAGTGAGGTAAATAGAAACAATAGGTAACTCTTACAAGAAAATAAGATACTTCTGCTTAGGCAGTTATCAGATCTAGATACACCCCCTTCAGAAGCATATTAGTTTATTCATTTGAAAATCAAATGTAAAGCAATTCAGTAGCCTCCCTGAACTCGGATCACACCCTGATTAAGAAACTGTAGCTGCATCTGACTGACCTGGTAATTCATATCTTTTAAACTAATTGTTTGTGTTTCCCTTCCCAGGCAGATGCTTTGAATGCTTGTTTAACCTTTCCTATTAGTATTAATAATGGGTTTTACTCATAAAAAGAAGGACTGTTGAAAGATGCTATAGATTTGAAGAGTTATTCATGCATATCAACTAAGCTTCACATAGCCAATTCATTTGTGTAACTTCAGCAGTGCCTTACAGCAAATGTTATTTTAATCAATTTATCAGTTGGTATATCTGAAATGTATCAACAGCAGCTGAGCACATCCATTACAGTAGCTATTATCCTTTCTGTATGACCACCTTCCTTTCAATACTAAAATTATTTCTCCTGTATGATACTAGCATGGAAGAACTTGAAATAAAATAATCTTTAGTAAAAATATTAGGAGTATACTGGGCACAGCGTAGTTCTCATATCAGTCCAAATTAGGAGAATCTCTCTCATTAAAAACTGTGGAGGTTCAAAGTTAAAAGCAGGATGAAAATTAGGTGGAGTTAAGCTAAATAGTTGAGGGTACGCTTATCTGGAAAGGACAATTTGCTGGATCCAGTTCAGAGCTAGTGGGGTTCCTGGATGTCAAGCAGAGGCTTGAATGCTGCCAAACCCCTTGAAGGCAGAGCCTTTGGCCACAAAGCCGGATGTATTTGGTCCTGAAGTGCTAGAGTTCTGGTCTAGACTGCTACTCAGTATTTCTCAATTATTGTCATCATCATTGTCCTTAATTGAATTAGAAGTCTCTGATATGGTAATAAAATAAGACGCATTGTATCTGACGTACACTAAGCACTGCTTTGGCTTCTGTTCTTCCCCTGCAAAGTTTAATAACTACAGACAGGTTAAGTTTTAAGACCACATCTTACCATAAACTTGATAGTTGCTCTGAGCCAGCATTAGTAGAAGGATGTACAGTAAGATCCTTTTTATCAACATGACTGGAGGAGCCTTCATTGTCTGGGCAGGGCAGAGAGAAGGGGTTCCCGTGGGTCTAAAATGTGCAGTTCAGATGGCTTCTTGCATCCTGTTAGGTTTACCCAGGGTGTATGTCTGAGCTGATTCCTTTTTCTATTTCTACTGTCAAGAGAGCGCAGAAAGGGGTGGGGAAGCGATATATCTGCAAAAATCTGATGAGTTACACAGTTGTCTTTTTTGGTGTGGTTGAAACATGGTTTGCTTGATTGTTTCACATCAACTCAGAACTCCTCTGTGATTCAAGGCAAAACCTCTTTCACTCTTCTCTGGCTCCCCTTACAGTGTAACAGACATAGCTGCAGATTTATATATATTTTTTTTCAGTGATGCTCCTGCAACTGAGGTTTTGATTTTACAAGCAGCAATACAGCAGAGAGAAGGGATGCACAACAGTGTTTTAAACTTGTTCAGTCCTTGTGTATTATTCTAGTTCAACATTAACAAATTAAGAAGCTGAACAAATTCACTATTCACAAGGTGGTAGATGTCAGAAACACGTTTGAATAGTCTTAATTTGTAGTAGATTAATTTACAATAATCTGCACTATAAAAGATAACTGCTTCTACTGTTTAGTCTTAGCATCCTCATAACATACTGTATGTGGCTTGTGAGGATTTTTTCCTTTTTTTTTTTTTTTTTTTTAATAGTAAATATCTTGGACACTCATCTGTATTTTGGAGTCCCTTTCTTAAAAACGCTTTGGCAAATGCAACTTCTACTATCACTGCTGACATTTCATTACCTCCTTTATCTCCTTTCTCCTTATGAGTAGGGTTGTTTGCGGGGGTTTTTAATGGGTTTTTCTTTTTTTTTTTTGTTGAGAATCTGACTGAAGATATCAAAGAATCTGAATTTTTCATGTTTTCTTGTTAAGACTTTATTACCTCCTTGAAACATTCACCAGGATACTTTTCATTTTTCTGATATTAAGTTATCAATGATTTCTTTTAGATCTCCAAATGGTAATTTATATCCTATTTTTTTGAGAAAATCAGTCCCTGAATTTGAGACACTAAAATATTCTAGTTTTCCTTTAAAAGCATGTTTCAAAGGAGAGTAAATACTAAATAAATATGAAATAACTATTTACCAAAGAAAGGAATAAGTGTCCTAATCTAAAACTATAACTATCAGAGGGAGGAGCATATGCATTTAAGATATCATTTGAAGATGGCAGAAAAAGACGTCACTAGATGGCACTGATTTCCACTATCTGCAGAAACTCAGTAACTGCTTTGCTATATGCAAATGAGACCTCAGCTGAATCCTAACAAACACCAAGTATTTCAAGAACTAAGAGAATTCAATGCAATCCAAATGCAACAGTTAGTACAGTTCTCTGTGTGTTGGTTATTGTTTCCAGGAAGAGGCTCCAAAGATATGGAGTAAAATTTGTACCTGAAGATTGCTATTCACAGAAACTTTCTTCACCTCATTCAGTCCAATTTGTCATGTCTGCTGCCGCTTTACCAAATGTTAGTGGGAAAAAAAAAAATAAAAAATCTCTACAATGTTCCTTCTGTTCCACCTCAGTTTTTCTTCTGACAAGACCAAGGCTGTGCTTTGGGATTGCATTTTCCCTGTTTGTAGGTGGTTAGGCATTGGACTCTAACCACGTAGAGAGACACGGCATTCAGATAGTGGGCTCCAGTAAGCCTACTGAAAATGACCTTCATAACACTACATGAAGAAGCTTTAGTGTCTTAAAGGAACAACAATAATTTAGTGTCCCATCCAGCCTTGCCTGTCATTACTGACCGTGCAGCTTGCAGTAGTCTGTGCTGTTGCATGAGCTATGGGTGGCCCCTGCAGCCTGTTCTCATTCCTTACTGCTGTAACTCCCTGCTGACTGAGAGATCAGATACTTCACTTCTATGCAAGTCCTTTCCCTTTCCACAATATGAGATTCTCTGTATCTCCCTGCTTTTTCCCGAGCAATTTCAGTTTAACGACATGAGCTAAGCTTTATTAAATCAAAGATCGCATCATAAACCAGGTTCTAAAATGCAGACTGAGCATGGGCCTGGATGCTCTCACAGGGGCTGTCAGTTCATTCAGTATAGAGTTGGTTAAGAATCTACTGAGGGTCTTGTTGTATATAAAACACTTATCTAAGTGTAAGCATGGGTATTCTACTTATTGAATTCGTCTTAATGGTAATGACAGGCTTCAGAAAAAAATTAAAGGTAAGGAGGTCTCATTTACTGCAGTGAAATCTAATACTGAATTTGGGAGCTACTCTGTACACCAAAGGACAGATTAAAAAAAACACTCAAGGCAAACCAATATACAAAAATCCCCTAAGAACCTGTAAAGCTTCTAATTATTTGTCTTCCAGCTTTGAACAGAACTGCTGAATGATACCCTCTCTTCACTGCATTGTTGTAAGCTACTCTATCGGTTAGGAGAAAATGCAAGATTTACTTATTTTCCTCCAGGACACAGTAGTTGTCACTGAACAGAAGGATCAGATAAGAGGAAAAAGTAGAAGTATCCATTGAAAGACAGAAACTTCCTAACAAATGTGTACTCTTTATTTAGTGTGTTCATGGAGCACATACAATATGAGAGTACTGGTCATTTCACTGTAACTACATTCACAAGTAATCCTCTGCTTTTATCTCCCCTTTCTGTGCACTATTAGACAGAAGACACAAAAAGAGAGATAAGTACTTAGATACGTCTAAAAGATGAATTAATTTAAACTGCTTGTGTTTGGCTCAGCTGAACACGGGCTTTGCATACCAAGTGAAACCAGTAATCTTCCTTGTGTCCTCCTCTAGGTCTAGCAGAAATCTAGTAAAATGTATGTTCTTTTGCAAGACTAAATCTTCAAGCGTTTCTGGCTTTGGAAACCTAAAGTGAGCATGGAGTTGGGACACCCAAAAGCTAAACTTGGGCTGAAATAGCTATTCAATAATTGTTTATAATTTCTATTTTATACTTAATTTTTTATTTGATAGAACTGTATTAAGTATACCTAATACATACCATTTAGCTTCAGGGACAACACTGGTCTTGCGGCTGCCCTCTGCCAAGCCTGAGTGACAGCTGTGGTACCTCAGAGCCTGCACCTTGTGCTTTTCCTGGTGAGATGTACTAACTGCTTTTGAATGTGAAAGAGGTGGCCTTGACCACCAGAAGACCCACAAATTCCAAACTCCTCGTAGAAAGAGAAAAGTGAAAGGATGGGAAAAAAAAAAAAAGTCCTTACTGATTTAAGGAGAACTGCCACAAATTGTTTATTGCCCGGTCTCTGCTGTCCAGCCTATGTAAGTGACAAATGTCAAACCTAATTATCAGTATAAATGTGGACTAAAAGCAGTTATGCATTCTTCATCCTACTGCATCTTGGATATGGATTAAACCGCATGATTCAGTTAGGAAAGTAAAATGTCATTGTAAGAATTCAGCATGGCCTAATTACTAAACTTTAAATATATACTTCACCCGATTCTGCATCAGCTTCTATACAAATCCTCAATGACACGTTGATTTTGCAAGTATATATATGCTGTTTCAAAGAGGAATTGTCCACACACACAAAAAAACCCCTTTTAAAACAGTATGTCTATTCTGCTTTTCCATTTTGATGTAAGGGCAACAAAAAGCAACTTGATCTTAATGTGCTGTGACCTGAAAATGACTGAAAATGAGAAAGTAATGATTAATAAATTTGAGTCAAGGGGTTGCACAAGTTTATCACTGATCTGTCATGAGACATCAAGCCAGAAAAGAATTCAGGAAAAGGAAGGCGTAAACAATCGAACCTGCACTTGATAATTTTGATGGTCTGATGTTATTTGCTCAGTTCTCATGAAGTCCCTAAGGGAGACGGGGATTGAACTGTGACCTTTCTGCAGATAGTTTGGAAAAGCCTGATTCTTCCACACTGCAGAAGCCCTCCCTGAAAAGACCTGAAGTATTAGGCAGCTTTGCAAGAGCCTCTACCTAGATACCGTTTACTGCAATGTCAAAATGCATACCATAATTTCACTTGGTGTTCATCTGCAACAGAAGGCGTAACAGTGAGGAAAGTGACATACTTGGCAGGAAGCGGGTTCTGTATAACCAGTCCTGACCCCGACTTCAGTGTGACTGTACAGATACATCAACAAACTGCTCCGACTGGTAGTTCGATACTACCTTAAACTACAACAACAGCATGTAGATTACCATTGTATGTGATCTACCACATGTTCTTAATCCACTTTCTTGGCAAAATAAGAGATCGTGCATAAACTCTATGAAAAAGGAATTCCTTTATTTTTTTTAAAAAAAGGACCATTTTTCCATTACCAAGTGAAAACTTTACAAAGTAAAGTATTTCTCTTCCAATAATATTTTAATATAAAAACTTAAATCACTTACTCTGGTCTTACTGTTCTAACAAGTAGTCTTGCGGCACTGCAAAACCCAGGTATTTTCAGCCTCACCCTAGTATCTAATCATAAGTTCATCACTTGTTTAAATAAAACCATTTCTGTGGCCACTTACCATCAGCAAAACATCCCTACCACCAAACCAAAAATAAAGCATCTTCACTATCCCCAAAGAGACTAAACTTTAATAGCATTATTACAGTAAGCTTTGTTAAAAAAAAAAAAAATTTATTTTGAAAGTTAGACACAACCTTAAAATTGTACAAAGACAACAAGCACTCAAATTACACAGTTAGCAGTGAGTACAATGTGAACACAACAACAGTGAGTCTTGCTTCTCTTTATAGGTAAATATAAATAGATTATCCTTGCCAAACTTCCAGCTTTTTTTTTTTTTTTTTTTTCCTGAAAACCAGCTCATTATGCTGTAAAACCTAGCAGGGAGCATTTCACTGTTCAGTTCAACAGAAGTGCTAAAAGGGGCTCTGGCTAAAAATAGTCCTTCTATCATGAGAATATCTCATACTTTGCAGAACCAAGTTTCTCTCTCAATTGAAAAACAGCTTTCCCTTTCATTATGTCGAATGTTTCACCCCCTCTAGGGACCTGCCAAATGACAGGCTTCAAAATGCTTAAAAATATTAGAAGTTGCTCACGTTTTGTCAAGAACATGCAAGCTGAAACTAACATGGTGCATACATGTAAGTAGTCACAAACCAGAGAATGTTCCTGTTTGTATTTTACTCTTTGAAACTGTTGTTTCAAGAAAAGCACTTCGGAGTAATTTTAGCTGTGAGTTGGCTAAACAAATATAAGTACATGGTCAGAGAAGAAAATGTTTCTTTTTTTTTTTTTTCTTTTTTTTTTTTTTTTTTTTTTTTTAATATTACATTTAGAGCTTCAAATATATTAATAAAACCACCTGGCAAAAAGTATCCCTTATAGTGTGTCCCTACATATGTACGTAAAATGAAAAGCAGACATTGCTACCATCCTCCCTTTACTTCTGAAAGTACTCTTTACAGGAAATATATGGAAAAATAATGCAGTGTTCTTGCAGAAAAAGGGAAAACCCCATGGAGACTGTTAAACAACTTAACCACAGCCTCTGTTCTAGGAATCAGTTATTACTTAGGTTTAGATATACCACAAAACTTCCACTGTAAATCTTCCCTAAGATCAACTGCAATTAAACCAAGGTTGTGCTTTATCCAACTACAGCCACACGGGCAGAATTATGCTCTGAACTTGAGTGTTTGCAAGAGTCTGTTCCAAGACTGAGTGTAACAGTTTTTACTTTAAAGAAAATAAGTGTAACTGTCTTGTTGATGATCTGGATTATATCCATGAATATAAACTTACTATTATTTCTACATTACCTGGAAGTGCTTTATTTTTCATTAGTTTACTCCATTAAAAATGCTTGTTGTAACAGATCAGTAGCTTGATTTTCATAAAACTTGAAAAATATTGTGGTTTTGGTTTGTTTGTTATTGTTTTTTGTTTTGGTTTGTTTTTTTTTTTTTTTGTTTTGTGGGGTTTCTTTGTTGTTGTCATTGTTTTTTAAACAAAATATCCAATTATTATGACACCAGTGTCCTACAAACTGCTGTGCATTGGAATTAAGTCAGTGTCATACAATTCCTGATAACCAATTTTTACTTCTGAATTGTTATGAGTTGGTAGCCTATGGCTACACTGATAAGGTTCCTCACAAGGCTCATATCCTCTGCAGTAGTTCTGCATAAAAAATAAATTGGTACTAGAATAATTACTGGAAATACTTACAGAATTGTATTAATTCTGTAAATTGAGGCTCTGTACACAGACTGCTTTATAAGTAGAGTAAGATTTTTAGAAACTAAGTGTTCTAATATGGCTTTGTCTTATTGAAAATGACTGGGTTTCTTTTTTTAACAAAAGCTGTTGATGTTGCTAACTTTTATTTTTATGTAAAACCATGTAAGTGGAAGTTACTTGCTTTTTTTCAGTTGTGCAAGAGCCTATTTAATGTTACCATTAAGCTTTTCAAAATGTCTTTCAGTTTGACAGTCAAGAGAAAAACATACAGCATTGAATCCTATATAAAATGCTTAGGGGGTGCAGCCTGTGAAATCCCATGTTATCAAGACCTGAGCTAACTAGCCCAAATTATACCTTTTAATCATAACATTTTCTCTAGATGCTTTTGTTTAATGGAAGCCTGTTTTCTCAATCCTCCACTGTTTTCTATTTTCTTCAATTCTAAGATAGCATTCATAAGGTTAAAAAAAAAAATAAAGCAAGGATGTTGTTTCACTGTAATGAAACAGCAGCCGTAAAAGAACACTTTCAATTATTGTCAGGACAGAAAAGGCTATTGGCAGTGTGTCTTTCACTTGGCTGAAGAAGATTTATAAAACAGTTCTAGCCCAAGGCAGTTAATGATCTCAAGCTACACCCAAGCTTGTGCAATAACAAACAAAATTTTGGAAGGCATCTTTTGATATCTAGGATTAGAGAAAAAAATTACTACTGTTATTTCTGCCTGAAGTTCTAAACTAGCAACCAGTATCACTGACAGGATTGCTATGACTGTCCTGGTAGCTTCAACAGGGACCAAAGGTGCAGCAGTGTACTGAGTACCCCTGGACTGGTACACTGGATAGGCAGCCTTCTGCTTTGTAGTTTCGCCCGTTTATTCAAACAGGTCTCCCAGCAGAAGGCTACAAGACATGGTTATAATGTAACACAAGTGCATTTCTGTAGAGGCTGATTGCACAAAAAACAGTCGTTACTAAGTATGTAAATCTCTCTCAATCCAGCAAAAGAGACTTGTCTAGAAATAGCTAGGGAAATAGCTCCAGAAACAAAATAAGCAGGTTACTTTGTCTCTCTCTAGTAATTACTTAGTATTGCTGTAAATATCTGGAATAAAAGAAATAATGAGAAACAGATACTGTGAAACTCTACTGGGGAAAGGAAGCTAAACAGAGCAACTGGCTCCACCTGAGGGAGTTAAAGCATGCTTACACCGCTGTATCCACCGAGGGGAGGGTTTCTGCGCTGCTAGATGATGCCTGGCACCTCCCTGAACCCAGAGCATCTCAAAAGAAATCTAGAGCAGGCAGGAGTTGCTCGTATTCCAACACTTTGCACAATACTCCCTCATTCCACTCAAAAACTTTATAGAGCACTTACATCGAGTGGACTATTTGGCATAATAATTTGGAATAGCTCAGTAATGGTTTAATAGACTCAGGAGAGGGTAATATTATTGAAATTCTTCAATTTTACATTTTACTTTTTGACAGTCAAATACAAATGGCCTTGACACAGAATAAGAAATGCAGCCCAAGTCTATAATTCCAGTATAGCTTCAAAGTATGTACGCCTTCCTATTTGCGCTTACAGGTATTGAATAGCCTCTGCAGTAACTATTTTGAAAACTATTTTAATCACTCCACCACCTTTGACTAAACGGCTGAGGACAAGGCCAGAGACGTAGAAGACCTTCAGGGAAAGATGGAGAAGCCTCTTGTCCTGTGCACTGTAGAAAAGCTTTCTCAACTCCAGAATTTCATGCCTCCCGCACCCCCAATTTAGATTTAGCATCCTTTGTTTTGCTAGGAAGAAAAAGGCATTAATCCTCTCTGCTAAGACCTTGGTCCAGTATAAGTTTCTCTCGCTAGCAGCTGCACTGCAAACCGTACTCAGTGACTGGCTTGCCTACTCAACTTTGAAGATTGGCACTGACACTGAAGGGGTCATGTTAAACTGAGACAATGAAACAGTGATTTCAAAAAAGATGTCATGGTAAACCTGCGGAACTCCTAGCTTCATGAGAATAGGGGAGTTCAGAGATCAGTGCAAGAGACCGGCTATGCGAGCTAGAGAATGAATACATCCACAGTCACACCAAGGAGGATAAGAGAGTATTCTAGAAGAAAACTGTTTCTCATTTTAGAATGTAAACCGAACTTGAATAGGAATTGGCAGTAATCCTCCCCCAACAGAGCAGTTATATTTAAACTAACCATTCTACAGCTTCTTGCATTTCACATGTGCAGTACTTCTTCTTGGTCACTTGTGGACAGGATACGGGACAAAGCAATCCACCGACATGATTAACAATCCCTACCGCATCATCTTCCTCAAGTATTTAGATGCACAGTTTGGGTAAGCAAGGTCCTCCATCCAAGTGCCTTTTTCTTAGCGTCAGTTACAGCTGGACTGAACACAGTTGTGGTGTATGCCAGGTATGTTCCCTACTTGCATCACGAGTTCTACATCAGCGTAGCTCTGAAGTCTACAGCAGGGTTAGCAAGTCTGTGGCATACCACTAAGTTCACAAATAGATTGTCATTTCTACAATAATACAAAATAGCTTGTAAAACCAATATGTAACACTGTATATATGCATGAATATAAAAATAAACCACACCATCAATATGTAAAACTTCACAACGATGATGAAAACAGTTTTCTTCTCAACGGTCTTCGGTATTGATGAGTTGGTTCTCATTGTCATACCCATCAGGCAGGTATGCTTTCCTTAGCTGGTCTGACTTAGGTATCGAGCTGCCATTCTTGACGTAGCGGGACAGGAAGGCTCGCACAGACGGATGATCAGCCTTCTCAAGTGGGATATTCGCTTCCAGGCACATTTTCACAAAGTCCTGGATGACGCTGGTTTTCTCTGTCTGGGCAGTACTGTTGCACTGAAGGGAGGCAGTCAGAGTCCTTTGCTTCTTCCTGACGTTCTGTTCTTCAAACTCTGCCTTTCTCTTTGTGTGTGTTTTAGACTTGAGGTGGTCATTGATGGCAGACTTGCGAACGTGATTCAGGACCACATTGCAGGAAGTACAGAAGAGTTTTCCTCCGTCTTCATGCAGCTCGCTGCCAAACTCAGTTACACGATCCTGAGGAGTTACATACAAAGCAGTCTTCGAGCGGTTACGTGATGGAGCGGACTTCACTCCAAAACGTTCCATTGTTGCCTTCAATAAGCTTTACCTGAAAGCTGGAAGAGAAAAAAAAAATGCTGTTAAAGTGAGCTAATGATTCCAACCAAATAGTTCTGGATGCAGTCTATTCAATATCCAACACAGTGCTTACTGACATCTAAAAGATAATTACATGTAAGATACACGTGTGAAACTATTATTTGAAAGGTTCTTCATCTTGCAGTCCGAAGAACTTAGTAGACCAAAGTTCCTCCTGGGTCAGAGTAAAATACTTTTTAGTTTCTACAACTACAAAGCTCAACAGAACCCTCAAGACTCAATCTGTTGATCACTGAAAGCCAAAGAGACAGACTTTCTGCTTTTTTTTGAAGGCAGTTTTTATCCTTTACCCTTTAGGGTAAATGGTGCTATATCCTTAGTATTTTCAACATATTCGACAGGTTTTTTTTATGTTGAGCTAGTACTTTATCTGTTTACTTCCCGAAAATGTGTATCAATCCTTCTAGCAAAAGCATAGTTGTCCAAGGATCAGACAAGAAGGCCATTACTGTCACTTCGAAAAGCCAGTAAAAAACAAACAACAACAAAATCCACACACAAACACCACCCACCCCACCCCCCAAAAAAACCAAAACCAAACCTGAGCTTTGTTAGCACTCATTTGGGAGCAGCCATCACTTTTGCCCCAGCTCAAACCACAACTATTAGATTGAACCTGAACTCAGTGTGAAAAGCAAATAATTTTATCACTGCAACCAGAGACTGCTGAAACAGCTAATGTGAACAGAAAATTGCATACATTTCAATGCAAAATAAGAACCTGTATCTTCAATGATGACAATGTCTCTGAGGAAGGTAACTGAGAACTACGAGGGCTGGACACTTTTTAACCTCACTGTAAATTACACTGTTATCAAAATAGGCAATAACCTAGTCAAGTGTGCGAAAATCAAACAGGACCTATGTCTTTGCTGTTGAGAAATGGAACAGTAATTTAAGTCCTTTTTCACAGTAAAGCTGAAGTCAAGAAACAGCTCTGTTCAGGTTTGAGGTTTTCTGACCAAAATGAATGGTCATCACATGAACTACCCACTTCCTTAACAACAACAACAAAAAAAAAAGGAAACAGGTCTTTCTTAAAAAACATATTTTGGCAAATACTTTGAGGAAATGTAATAGGTTGTCTGGGAGTTTACTTATGGGCATGAACAACTTTGAAAAATTTTGTACTGCCTCTGCTTACAAGGCAGACTGAAAGATCAGAATACTTCTAGATGTATTCTTGTCTGTACTTATTGTGTTACACACCCAGAGTTTGATATTGCAGCAATTTAAAAGATCTGCCTTTAAAAGACTAGAACTTCTAAAGCAACTATAATCGGACCTTGTCCAGCTCTAAGGACTGAATGGAGCTTCTGCTGTCCAAAATGCCTTTCGCTTGCTGTGGAAATAAAGGAACAGAGAATTCAGTCTTCAAAATTGTCTTTTTTCTTAAAGCGTTGCTACACATAGAGATGACAACCCTTTGAAAAAAAAAAAAAAAAAAAAGAGACAAAAATCTTGCCACTAGTTACTTTCCTAGTAAGTTTTTTGCACTATCTGCTACTTTCCAGAACTGTAAGTCTTGACTGATACTGCACAACACTGCAGACTAAAATAAGCAATCTTTTTCCATCACTGATAAAACTTTGTTCATTCTTTTTATTGCTTTATGCAATTTATCCCCATGAGTTTTCTAAGTAACTGTTTCCTGGAATCAAGCGGAAAACGAGTTGTAACCTAATGTAAACCTTGTTGCTTAGGCTTCTGAAACATCAAAACAAATCCCCCCACCAAACTAGGTGTTCACACTTACACTATACCCAAATCCATTGGAATTCTGCGAACAGTACAACTACTGAAACACGGAACTTCGGGAGTGTCATTTTGTTTTGGTTTGTTTTTTTTTTTTTTTTTTTCTCTCCAGTTTTGGCATCGATTCTTTGATGGCTACTCCTGCCTGGACTAGTTCTGGGTTCCCACGAGCGGGGGAAGGTGCGGGTGCGGGTCAGACGCCCGCCGTTAGGCTTCCAGAGGAGCCGAGCCGCCCCGGGGCGGGCGGATGAGCGCCCCTTGACTCGGCGGTGCCACCGGGGAGTACTTCAGACCGGGAGGAAGAGGAAAACAACTCTGGATTTCCAGCCGCCCAACAGGTTTCGCCGCTCCCCTCGGTGCCGGGGGAAGCGCCCCGCCGCCGGGAGCCGACACTCGCCGTGTTTATTCCCCGGGGCCCGGCCGCCGGCTGGACGGCGCCATCGCACCCGTGAGGGCCTCCGAGGAGCGGCGGGGCCTGCGGCCCGCCCGCCGCCCACCTCTCGCCCTCCCCCGCCCCGGGGGGGCCCGAGGGCCCGGCCCGGCCGCAGGCACCGCGGGCCTCGCTCCCCCCGCCGCGCCGGCGGCAGGCAGGTGCGGCCCCGGCCGCCCCGCCCCGCTCCTTCCCCCGCCCCGGCACGGCGGGTGTTTCCACGAGCACAGCCGGGAGGCGCCGCCCGGCCCCGCGGACCCCACGGGCGGCGGAGCGCGGCCCCGGGCGGGCCCCGCCGAGGCAGCGCCGCCCGCCCGCCGCGCCCCGCCGGCCCCCGCCCGCCCCCTGCCGGGCGCCGTTACCCGCTCCGGCCGCGCGGCCTCCCCGCGCCCCGCCGCCACGGGGCTGTCGCCGCCGCTCCGCCGCCGCCGCCGGCCCCCACGCCGCGGGACAGCCGCGCTCCGCCGCCGACGGCCGCCGCGCCGCAGCCAGACGGACCTACCCACCCTGGCGGCCGCGGTAGGCGGGCCCTAGCAACCCGCCTAGCAACCGCCGCACCCGCCCGCCGCCCGCCTCCTGCCCGCCGCCACAGAGCGGTCAAGCGGGAGAAGCCCCTCGGTGATTGGCTCCCCGCGGCCCGGGCGCGCGGAGACGGACGGCGCTTTTACCCAATTCGAAGTAAGGGGGCGGGTGACGGAGCCGTGATGGAGATGTGCTCGGGCCAGTCAGAGTGGGCGGCGGCGGCGGCGGCGTCTAGCAGACGGCGGCTTTGGCCAGTGGGCGGCAGGAGGCTGCGGAGGGAGGTGTAACAGACGGGATGAGAAGCCAATGGTAAGGGAAAGAGAAAGTAACGAAGAGACTTTTGATCCAATGGAAGGGCGCTTCGGCAGGGCCGGGTGGAAGGGAGGAGCCGGAGGTTGGGGGTCACCGGCGAGTTCTCCCGTCGTCGGCCGTTGATCGGCACGGCGGCTGGCCCAATAGGAGCGCGGCGGATGGGCGTGGCCGGACGTGAGGCGGCGGGCAGGGGTGCGCCCCTTCCGGCGCGGCGGGGCGGGGGCAACGGGGCGCTCAGTACGCGCAGGGCGGCCGGAGCAGCATGGCGGAAGACGAGAGCGATCAGGAGTCGGAGCGGCTCAGCGAGGAGCTGGAGGCGCTGGTGACGCCGGGACTCCCCGCCGGCCTGCCGGCCCTCCTTAACAGCCAGTATTACTGCCGCCGCTTCTGTCAGGTGAGAGCCGCCCCGCCCCCCCGGCCTGCTCCTCGCCCCTCCCCCCCCGCGGGCGGGGGTGGGGCGCGCCGGGGCCCCCCGTTCTTTTGGGGGGGAGGGGGAGGGGGGAGCCGCGTGGCCGGGCACCCCCCCAACCCGCTCCCCGGATCCTTCGGGGTGTCGGAGAAGGGGACTCGCCGGGGCCGCTGCCCCCGTGGCTCTCGGCGGGGCGGAGGTCGGGCCGCTCCCCGGGGGTTCGGGGCCGGGGCAGCGCTGAGGGGGGGGGCGGGGAGCCCGGCCCGCTCCCGGGTCTGCAGGCGGAGGGGGGAAGAACGTGAGGTGACGCCTGTCCCTTAGCGGGGGGCGGCCGGGGTGCTGGTGGCGAGTGCCCCCGGCTCGGCGCGGCCCGTGGGGAGGGTGGCAGGGAGGCTGGCGTGGGGCGGGGGGGGGGGGGTGAGGGGAGGTTCCTCCCGGCGCAGGGGGGCGGGAGCGGGAGCGGACGAGGAAGAGCCGGGGGCGTCTGAGGGTGGGGGCTCCCCCCCAGCCCCCCGCCGCCGCTGGGCCCGGCCAGCTGGGACACGCGTGGTGGTGGGGTGGGCAGTGCAAACACGGGTGGCTCTGCCGGGGAGCCGGGCCTCGCAAACCGGCCCCGTGACGGTGGCTAAATTAGACCCGGGTTTAGTTTTGGTTTGGTTTTGTTTTTCTCTTCGTTTAAAAGCAGCTTCTCTTCACACAGGTCCGGAATTCGTGTGCTCTTTGCAATTTCTTTATGTATACCTTGTGAAGTAACAAGCAACAACAGGTTGCTTTCCCCAGTTGCTTTCATCACCAGGTGTTGGTGAAACATCAGTTATGCTGGGTGTATTTCAGGCACGCTGCTTGCTGGTTTCTGAAACACAGTCTAGAGGGGTTTAGTATGGAATTAATTTAATCAACTTCTTGGCTGTGTACCTCACCACTATGATTGTTTTCTTCCATTTAAATAAATGTGTTTCTATGTTCTTAGTTTGTTCTTCCTGTTTTAACACTCCATGAAACATCTGTTTGAAATATTATTTACTGTAATACATGTTTAAAATCATCTCGGGTAGCATATTGCTCAGTAAGTCCACAGGTTGCCTTCTGGTCTTATCGATCCTTTTATATTTTCTTTCTGTCTAGTGGTTTCTCTAGACCTAGTATGTGTGAGAAAAATCGTGAAGCCAGTAAAAGGAGAAGTTAATGTTTCTGGAAGCGTGGTGTAAATGACAGTTGTAATCAAATACAGTTGAGATTTCTTAAGTTGGCAGGTTGGACAGACGTTTGCTTCGGCTGACCACTGAGAGTTTTGTCTTAAATTTTTCTAGCCACACTTGCTGAGCGTTGAATTCATTGTGTTAAGGAGGAAGCGCGGGCAGGTTGATAGTTTCATGTACTAATGCCAATCCCATTTCCTAGACAGAGCTAGGAATTAGTAGGGAACAGAAGAGGACAAGACCAGGGAAAGAATTTTCCTACAAAATAGTTGTATCACGGTTATTACTGGTAGAGTATCTAAATTATTTGACCTTGACTTCTGCAGTTTCTTTTGTGTAGAAAGACTGCCAAGCCCTCTCCTCTACTTTGTTTTGCTTTGAGTTTATGAACTCTCCACATGGGCAGCCAGTGTTGCGAGCATATAAAGGGCTCTATTTCTTTTTTCTTAAATTTTCTTTTTAACAATGGATAGTTTAAATAATTCTTATGAAAGTGAGTTAATGTATTAATACTTTGTCTCCAGGGATTTTATTTTTTTGTGTGTGTGTGTTTAAATTTGGCCTGGTGTCATCAGCAGTCATGTGCTCGCTCAAAATATAATCTTCCATGTTTTGTTTCAGCATGTTTTTTAGTAATGGATTCTTCTACTGATTTAACTATATAAATACAAGATCTTAGCCAGTGTAGTGTTCTGGTATGAAAAGCTAGTAGCTACGTGGCCTTTGTGGTTTGACAACAAATGAGGTTGTGCGTGCCTCCCATTATCTCACTTAGCCTTATGAGATTGGCAGTGGTGTAATTACACTGGTCTATATATACCTGTACATACAGAGGGCTGCTAGGCCCTCAGCCTATTTAAGAGGTGATGAAGCATATTTATATTTCTTCGGAAAGTATCATGAAGTTTAGGTCCCCTCTTTTTCAGCATAACATTTTTTGTAAAACAAAACTTCTCACTTAAATACTGTGTTGCTTTATTAGATTTAGCCTTTATATTCTGCCCCCTACCCCACCCCCCAAGATATGTCTTTTAGTGCAGTTTTTCCCTTTGGCTCTAGTTTTTGTCAGGGCCTGTTGCTTCATACTTTTTTATCCAGATCTTCTGAAGGTCTGTTGTGCAGATCAAGCCTTTCCACCTCATTCTGCTCTGCACTGATTTTGCTTGTCTTAATGGTTATTTGCCACTTCTAAATGTCCCAGTTTGCTTCCTATGTTCCTGTTCTTCTGTCAAAAGCTAAACAGCAGTTGTGGAAATAGTTGCTTAGCGATAATACCATGAGTTTGAACTACCCAAAATAAAGATTTTTATTTTCAGAATAACAGCCTATTAAAATATATGGCTGTGCTTCAATCATAGTGATGAAGCTTGGTGTCAGCTGAAAAGAATATTGTTTAGATTGCTTCTAGTTATACTCCTGTGTGACGTATACACATATCCACATCTCTCATTTTTCCCATAGCTCTTACTGAAGCAAGGTGGAAAGCCTTTTTGGTCTGTAGAGCCATTTTCTGGAGACAGAAGCAAAGACGTCTTCACTGATCTTAGAGTATAAGAGTGGCTGAGACCTTGAAAAGCGTTGGTGTGCACACGTGTCCAATCCTTGAAAGGTTAGAAAGGTAAAATATTGTTATAAACAGCCAGATTTGGTACTATTGAGGCCTGGAGTATTGCAGTTGAACTTGACTTTCAGATAGTAGATTAAGTAACAGTTATAAAAGAGTGACTGGGTTGTCAGAGCATTTTCCTTTATCTTGTCCATTAAATTGTGTTTACACATATCTTTTAAGTCAGAATGTGGAGCCTCTAAACCCATGTATAGTTTCTGGGATTGATTTTTGTATTGTAGGTGTGCATGCATGGTCGTACAGAGTCTTTGCAGCCTGAATCTTCCAAGGCAAAGTGGAATAAAATGTTTTCTTAGATTGTTATTTGAGATTGATGACATGGGAAAACCAAAAATCAAGATTTCTGTGGTTGAGCATGAAAGGAGACAGTTGGAAGTTGAGATCAGTGCCCAGTTCATGCATCTCACCAGCTGTTCCAATGTTACTTTCTAAAAATTACTGAACTGGCATTTCTTCTTATTTGTGAAGTTCACCATGTATTGAACCCACTTAGACATTGGGAAAAGCAAGTCTACTGTTCCCAGCTTCGACAAGCAAAAGAACAAGGTGTCTGTAGCTACTTTGTAGGCTTAAAGAAATTTGAAAGGTGGTACCTAGCAGGAACCCCCTCACTCTGAGCATTTGGAAGAGCTTCACAAGTTTCAGCTTGCGTTATATGCAGAATTTGAAATTCTTTCATGAGATTTCTCAGGGACCAGAGCCATTGAGAGTTTCTTGTGTGAGTGAAATACAAATAATGAAGGGCAGAGAAAGTAGCATAGATGATTACTTTTGGGTATGAGGGCAGAGGGAGTATTTTTATAATTAGAAGGATGAATTTCCAAATTTACTTGATCTGAAAACAGACCTTAACAGAGAGCTTGGAAAAAGGATGTAGCTGACTTTATTGCACTTTAAGTGGGTATGGTTTTATCAGATATAAATTGCATTTTGTTTTCAAAATCTCTTCTCGTAATGTTAAACACTATCAAAATATTAC